GCCATTTGATGGCTCCCCCTAACCGTTTTTAAAAAGGATATAAGTATGGGTTAACGTGGAACATTGATTACTACATCAATTGAATTACTCGAGTCTAGAGTCTCCAACTCGATGGCGCAGCGGACGGTCGACAACCTGTTTGCTCTGGTTCCCAGAACATTTACACCAGGGATGAACTTATAAACATCCGTGTAACAACTCCACTGGATTTATTCCTCGGGTATCTCTCCTCTTCAACGGACATTTTGGACATTGTACTCGAAGGCGCCCTGGTCATTACCAAAGCAGCGACATGTCGGGGAAACGAGCTGCGCCACCGCGGACTTCGTACACCTCTCCCCGGCATATTCCTCTCTAACGTGCGCTCACTGCCCAACGAAGTAGACGAACTTCAGCTACTTGTGCTTAATAAACGAGATGTTTCCCCCTCCGCTGTCCTGTGCTTCACGGGGTCATAGGGTTCCAACTGCACAGAGCGGACCACAACACGGAACTCTACGGCAAGAGTAAAGGTGGAGGCATCAGTTTTTTATGCAACCAGTGGCTGGTGTAGCGATGTAGCAGTGACCCTACAATTCTGCTCCCGAGTATTGGAAACTTTTATTATCAAGTGTGAAGCCTTCTATTCTCCCGAGTTCTCGTGACTTCGCTTCATTCATTCTGGTTGGTGTTTACATGCCGCTGTTCTGAAGTTTTCTCCTATCTATAGTTTTTTTTTTCCCCTACCCGAGTTAACTGCGCATGCGCACACCGGCCAATATGCCGCTGCAGACGAGCCATAGTTTCTGCTACCCCACCATTAAACAAGGTTAGTTTCTTGTATTTTTAATACTTTATATGACCAGGTTTATGGTCATATAAATGGTCATAGGTTTGACAGTCAACTTATTTCAACTTGCCACGTGCCTGAGATTGTGTCTGAATGCAGTTTGAATAGCTAATACTGCGATTTATCGTCATTTTCACGTAGTCTTATAACTTGCCCATATAGCCTCCGAATTTTTCAGCTGTTTTAAAACAGTACCTTACTAAATTTGCGTCATTTTCTTAGTAGTCATAAAACTTCCTCATGTAGCCTTTGAAATTATGTGTATGCAATTCGAATGTGTAATAGCACTGTGATTTTCCAGGTGTTTTAAAACAGTACCTTCCAAATTAGAGCAGGATTTACAGTATGTAAGCTCATTTACAATTCTCTGATAGTGCGCAGAGTTTACAGTATGTCATAAGCTCGTTTACAATTCTCTGATAGTGGCATACACTTGGATGGAAGACCTCTGACATTTGTCCATGAAATTAAGCATTTCTTCCATTGAGTTATTGATCGCTATGTTTTCTTAGGTATATAATCGGTTTGTTTCCTTTGTGTGCATTGGAACTACACAAAATGGAGAAAAAGGCAAATTTCATCAAGGCATGTGTTACTTTTGAATGGAGGTTACTTGACAGTGTCTATGGAGGAACTTTTGCACTAACAAATATATTTATCATTTTATCAGGAAGCCATATTTTATCTCAGTGCCGTTGTGGCAAGCTCCCTGTTCTTTAATGGGCAGTTTAAAAGTCTCCTAACTCATCTTTGGTTTTTAAGAAACTAAATCATTTCTTTTGATGTAAGGTCCTAACTCATCTTTGTTAACGTACACATTTCTATATTATCTGTTACAGATGAAGTTCCCAGCAGAGAGTGTTTGGCTGTGTCTTGTGAATGTTACTGCACATTGGATTCTTGTGGTCTGTTTCCAAAATATTTGATTTCTGTTGACTCAGTACTTTGACAGATTTTCTCTTTTGTTATGTGGACATATTTAAAAATGAAGTCTCTGCTTCAAAAAATTAAGCTGGCTGTGCAATACTCTGTAAAGTAACCATTAAGCATAGTGCTGTCTGTTTAATGATATGAAATATATTACTTTACTTAAGGTTGTGAACATGGCAGAGGTTCCTCACTGTAATTAAACCAATGGGAAATGAGGTTGCTTACAACAGGAAGATTCTGAGGAACTGGCGGTAATATAAAGACTAATTTGCACAGATATATTTTTTTCAAGAGAGGAAAAAAAAGTTAAACTTTTTTTTTTTTATGCTGTTATAGAAACTTCCTGAGGAACAGGTCAAGGGAGAAATCCAAATATGTGTGGGCTGTGCACACCATGGACCACAACACACAGATGGGTTTCAGCAGTTGTGGGGTTCTGGTGTTAAAGGTACTATTTCAATACAAGTTTGTACTTTGAAGATTAAGCTAATAGTATTTAATTGTAAATATTATGTATCTAGAAGAACATGTGTTATTATGTAGATAATGTACCAAATCAAACACATAATTACATTCATATTTCATTTACAGTATGCTGAAAATTTCCTTCTGAGTGGAAACATATCTGATGCGCAGACAACTCCAGAAGCTGTCAGTGGACAAAGGATGGACATAGCCTGTATATTATTGGAAAATAGCCAAAAAAATGTAAAATAAATCCAAATGTTCTGTATTATATATTATCATCATTTATGTTACTATTTATAAAAATAATTTAAAAAAACACACTGAAAAATCCTAGATTGAGCATAATTATTTTCTATTTTACAGTATGTGCTGCATTGGGTAACATTTTTACAATCCCTCTGGTTTATGATGTAAATGTAAAGAACAAAGTCCTACCCTAAACCCTGAGAGAACAGATATATTAACAGGGATTTTCTCTTTAGCCTCAAATAATGTGCTACCACTCTAAATAGAGTCAGAAGCACATATTTATAGCGATTTCATGTCTGTAGTAATGTGCTACCACTCTGAATAGAGTCAGAAGCATGTATTTATAGCGATTTCATGCCTGTAGTAATGTGCTACCACTCTGAATAGACTGAGAAGCACGTAGTTATAGCGATTTCATGCCTATAGCAATTTGCTACCACTCTGAATAGACTGAGAAGCACGTATTTATAGCGATTTCATGCCTATATTAATGTGCTACCACTCTAAATAGAGTCAGAAGCACATATTTATAGCGATTTCATGTCTGTAGTAATGTGCTACCACTTTGAATAGACTGAGAAGCACGTAGTTATAGCGATTTCATGCCTATATTAATGTGCTACCACTCTAAATAGAGTCAGAAGCACATATTTATAGGTATTTTTTGCCTATAGTAATGTGCTACCACTCTGAATAGAGTCAGAAGCATGTATTTATAGCGATTTCATGCCTGTAGTAATGTGCTACCACTTTGAATAGACTGAGAAGCACGTAGTTATAGCGATTTCATGCCTATAGGAATGTGCTACCACTCTAGATACAGTCAGAAGCACGTATTTATTAAGATTTGTGATATGTGTATAATAATGTTGTACCCATAATGAGTACACAGAGAGTACCGTCATGAACTAGGGTGAGCTAGAACAATGACAAACTGTGGTTCACAGCAAAACTCAGACAGCTAAGGAGGCTCAAGGAAGAGGCGTTCAGTGGTGGAGACAAAGAGAGCTACAAAGAGTCAAAATACAGGTTTAGCAAGGATCTCTGATGGAGATGAGTTGGCGTACAGATGGGAGATTGACCACCTGGTCACCAGGTGTAGAATCAACAACTTAGAACTCAATGCCCTAAAAACAGTGGAGTAATGGACTTCAGGACGAGCTCACCCCCATCCGTGCCCATCACCCTGGGTGATTTTCCTGTAGATACTGTGGAACACTTCCGCTTCCTGGGAACCATCATCACCCAGGACCTTAAATGGGAGCCGAACATCAGCTCCCTCATCAAAAAAGCCCAATGGAGGATGTACTTCCTGAGACAGATGAAACAGTCTAATTTGCCAAAGTCAATGATGGTGAACTTTTACACCTCCATCATCGAGTCTACCCTCACCCCCTCCATCTCCATCTGGTACGCTGCTGCAACTGCAAAGGATCTGAGCACTCTCATCCACTCTGCCGAGAAGGTAATTGGCTGCGACCTATCTTGGCTCCAGGACCTGTACACCTCAAGAACCAGCGAGCAAAAAAAAATTGCAACCGACCCCTCTCACCCTGGTCACAAACTCGTGAGGCCAAAACCTCTCGCCACAAAAAAAAGCTATTAGCTTTGTCACCAGACAAAATGGCTGACAAATTCCTCGTAGGTGAAAACCTACATGGCAATAAAAACGAACTGCAAAGGATCTGAGCACTCTCATCCACTCTGCCGAGAAGGTAATTGGCTGCGACCTATCTTGGCTCCAGGACCTGTACACCTCAAGAACCAGCGAGCAAAAAAAAATTGCAACCGACCCCTCTCACCCTGGTCACAAACTCGTGAGGCCAAAACCTCTCGCCACAAAAAAAAGCTATTAGCTTTGTCACCAGACAAAATGGCTGACAAATTCCTCGTAGGTGAAAACCTACATGGCAATAAAAACGCTTCTGATTCTGATTTTGATCAGGTCAGAAGACATATAAAGGCAATCGTTTTCACATGGAATGTCCTCTGCTCTGGCTGCCTCCCTCGGGACTAATCATCTGGCTTTCTCCTTCTGGATTCAGCTGAATGTCACCAGTGTCAAAACAGAAGCTGACGCTTTAAGGCCCCAAGATCAATATCTGCCGTCCCCTCACACACACAAAAACACTCAACAATGACTTTTCACACGTGAAGACATTACGCGTGGAGCAGCTTTTACACACCAGTGGTTTGATGCTCTGAGATTGCTCGGTAGACAGGTTGGTGCACATTGCTTAGTTACTGGAAATAATGTGTTTTTTGTATTATTTGATAAGTGGATACTTTAATTACAAGTAGATATGGTAAACCTGAGCAGATGAGGATCTTATCAGCTAAACATCAACAAATTACTGTACATTTAGGTTGAATTTTTGGGCTAAAGTGGCGCTTTGGCCCAGAGGCAATGTCTCTGTCATTGGTGTGGAACCCCAGGGTTCACCTCCTGGGCAAGTTCGAATCCCGGTTAGGGCGGTTGGTACCTTCCAGTGGACTCACCACCCGCAGGAAGGTTTAGGTCGGGTTGGTACGGTGCAATGTGGGTTGGGTGGCGACTGCTGCCCCTGTGACCCGGTAATGGATAAGCGGATGAAAATGGATGGATGGATTTTTGGCTAAATGTTAGAATCATTTTTTGTAGTTCTTCTTAAACAGTAATACCTTGAGATATGAGCCTCCCGGCATACGAGTATTTCGCGATACAAGCAAGCTTTCGAGCAGATTTTTGAGTTGAGATACGAGTCAAGATTTAAGATACGAGCACACTTACAGATGCTAGGTGACCGAGCACTCGGAGCAGCCCACGCCGCCTCACTCTCTGTCGACTTCCGTACGCATCTCGATGCAAGTCTTATAGAAAAGTAAAGTTAGGTTAATTCTAAGTTTATGACGCAAATTCGGGAAGTGTTCCTAATTTTCGCATCTGTGAGTTGGCGCTGCTGCAGGTGGCTGCCTGTAGCTCCAGTTCCCATCATGTCTTTTAACTTTGTTTGTTTGCTAGTTTTTATTACTTGCTTTCTTTTGTGGACTAAGCACAATCTGTTCATAAATGTTTTGGACGATGAGTGGGCTCCAAGTTTTTTTTTTTTGCTCTTCTCCATGTTCTCCTGTTACTTTTTCTACTGTTTGTCATGGAGAATTCCGCCTGTGGTAGCGGGGGAATTGTCTACACACGCGACTAGCTGCCGGGAGACAGACCTGTGGTCCTGCTGGAGTTACGGAGGAAACGCCGGGGTTGCAAGTCTGGAGCCGAATTGAGAAAAGAAGAAAACATAAGCCAGCGGTCCCGGAGAATATAATGGGTAAAGTCGGGTCTCTGGGAAATAAAAATGACAAACTTGCAGTACTGGTGAAGACCCCATAAGGAGTACCGTGAGTGTAGCATGTTTTGCTTCAGTGAAACTTGGTTGCATTCACATATCCTGGACAACATCGTCGAGGTCCCAGATTACGGTTTGATACGGGGGGATAGAGGCTGTTCCAAAAGCGGGAAGAAGAAGGGTGACGAAATTGCGCTATACGTTAGTGAGAGGTGGTGCAATCCCGGTCATGTCAACGTCAAGGAACGGCTTTGTACCCCAGATATTAAACTGCTGGCTGTAGGAATGTGCCCGTACGATTTACCTAGAGAGTTTACATCCACCATTATATGCATCCATCCATTTTCATCCGCTTATCCGTTACCAGGTCGCGGGGGCAGCAGTCTCCACGACCGCCACCCAAATCACATTGCACCATACCAACCCCTTGTGAATCTTCCTGCAGGTGGTGAGTCCACTGGAAGGCACCAACCGCCCTAACCGGGATTCGATCTTGCCCAGGAGGTGAACGCAGGGTTTCTACACCAATGAGAGACATTGCCTCTGGGCCAAAGCGCCACTCCAGCCATTATAATTGCTGTATATATCCTTCCGTCAGCTGATGCAGCGTTGGTCTGCGACATCATTGGCTCAACAGCGGCAAAACCACAGACTGACCAACCTGATGCTTTTATGGTTAGAACAGGTGACTTCAATCATGCATCTCTTGACAATACACTCAACTTCCACTACCTAACACTAACAGACTCACACAAGATCATCAGGAAGGCTGGTTCTGTTCTTTGGTCTCAGACTCGAGGCCCTTTGAGGCTGTTGTGGAGAGGAGGACACTGAACAAACTCTTAGCCAACATGGACAACAATGAGCACCCTTTCCATCATACTGTAGACGCACAACGGAGTACCTTCTCTTACAGGCTGCTCCAGCTCCGCTGTCGTAGGGACATACAGAAAATCCTTCCTGCCACGTGCCCTCACACTCTACAATAACAGCTAAACTTTAATAATTATTCTGCAATACCCAAACACTGCCTTTATATACATCCATCCATCCATCCATCATCAACCGCTTATCCGGGGCCGGGTCGCGGGGGCAACAGTCTGAGCAGGGACACCCAGACTTCCCTCTCTCTCGCCACTTCCTCCAGCTCTTCTGGGGGGACCCCGAGGCGTTCCCAGGCCAGCCGAGCGATGTAGTGGGGTCCTTTATATACATACTGTATTTATTCTATACTGTGCATCTGTATATTTATATTGAAGCCTCCACTTACCCATTCATCTTACCAATACAGTTTACTGCTTATCTGTACATCTTATACCCGTCTTTGCATCTTTTGCATCTCTTTGCATCATATCACAATAGGTTTGAATTGTGCTTTTTCTAAATACCTCTATGTTTTTCCTATTGTCTCTATATGTATGCTCTGTATGCTTCTGCTACAATGCAGTTTCCCAGCCTGGGATCAACAAAGTACATCTATCTATCTATCTATCTATCTATGTAAGTTGTAGTGTACGTGTAAGGTACGGAATCAAGTACTGTATCTACGCATGAGCCGCTACTGTATCGTCTGTCTCGAAGGCAAGAACTTTTAACTAATTAAAACCACATTTTATGTTATATCACAGGAATGCTTATATTCTATAATATTTTGTCTGTGTGTATGTCTCTATAGTAATTAAGTAGTTTTTTCCATTGTAGTAATAACACTTTTTTTCCAGTAATTTCTTATGGAAACAATTATTTGAGATACGAGCACCTCGAGTTACGAGCTCGGTCCTGGAACAGATTATGCTTGTATCTCGGGGTTCCATTATATAACTTAATTGGGTGTCATTTATTATGGCTACATCTGAGCTTGTTTTTCATTTGGGAATTTTCTAGGTAGTTTTAGTTTTTCTTTAAACCTTCCTCTTACTTTAAGTTCATTTTTAGCCATTTTGTCTATATTTATCCTAACCATTTGATGTATTGGCAAAACTTTACGTATTTCTGGGTTATATCGGTTTTTAGTTTTGCTTTAGAAAGTCAGTTCAAATGTGGCGCTTTGGCCCAGAGGCAATGTCTCTGTCGTTGGTGTGGAACCCCAGGGTTCACCTCCTGGGCAAGATCGAATCCGGGTTAGGGCGGTTGGTACCTTCCAGGGGACTCACCACCCGCAGGAAGGTTTACGGGGGTTGATACGGTGCAATGTGGTTTGGGTGGCGACTGCTGCCCCCGTGACCCGGTAACGGATAAGCGGATGAAAATGGATGGATGGATGGATGGATGGAAAGTCAGTTCATCAAGACAGCTTGTATTTTAGGGAAGAAGATGTATGGCAGTAAGTCAACAAATCCATTGACTAGACTGTCTCTATGTTGTGTCTCAGACCACTTCCTCCAGGCCGTAATCTCACAAAACCACAATTTACAAACTGTCTCTTTAAACTAAACACCAGACACTTGTATTGCCATACTTGTACTCACCATTGCTTGGAATCATAAATGAGCAAATTTTACACAAAAATATCCTTAAACAAACCGCAGGATGCGGACCTTGAACCACTTTGCTGTAAGGCTGTCCATAATTCCTACCTATTAGGAAGATGGATTATCCTGGCAAAAGTCAAAACATACCAGTCAACCTCTGTTTAAGAACCTGGTCTCTTGAGGAAAAAAAATTAAACAAACCAAAAAAAAAAAAAAAACTCACATATTTAGTATATTAGTATATAAGTGTATATAACAAAAGAAAATAACAGTGGTTTTGCTGTTATTTAATAAATACATGACCACAAAAATAAAAATAGAGAAACATGGCAACACACACACACACGTGGGCACACAATAAAGAAATAAAACATGCACTCACCTTGTCATTCAAAACCAAAAAAAAAAAACAAACAAACAAACAAAAAAAACCCCAAAAAAACAAAAACAACTTTAGGGAAACTTTAGTGCTGACAACAAACTACGATGTGCGGAGGTGCGTCAGTTATTAAGAGGAACAAAACTGATTCAGATTCCTGGCAGAATAACAATTTATTGAAATTTTAGACTAAAAGAAATACAGTGTTGTGCTTTATTCAGTTTTGCAAACTGTTTTGTGTATATACAATATATACACACCTTTACATATTTATATATATATAAATGTATATAGAACCTCATGTTACAAGAAGGTTAACTGAAATATTGTCATCTATTGAATTTCCAGAAATATCTCACCTTTTCCATAAACTGTATTTTTTTTGGCCAATTTCTACAAAAAAAAGATTTCTTTTTAACCTTGTGAAGTGAAAACAAATCATTCAGCAATACCTAGTGCCAAATTTCCAGTCAGTACGCCAGGATCAGCTTTTGAGCAAACCACAAAAAAAAAAAAAAAAAAAAAAAATCACAAGTTCTATATATAGATTTTACAAACTGGCCATCCTGTAAAAACCAAGCAAAAACCACAGCTGTCTGAATCCACACAGCTTCTTCTCCACCTTCCTCTTCTTGTGGATCCTGAGGACTCCCCTGAGCACGGAGTTTGTTCTACGTTGGAAAGCATCTCCTGCCTGGAATTTAAATCTAACAGGCAGTTCTGTTTCAGAAGAGAAAAACCTAAAAATTTAGAATTTCAGCATTTCGGCAGGAAGTGCTTTTTTTTGTTTTTTTTTTTTTACAAACTGGCATGGATGTCCTCGTGTCTCAGAACTTTGTAGGTGATCCAGTAGAGGATGTTGAAAATGAGGAAGGTCAGAGGGAAGACGGCTCTGGAGACGGTGTCGATGCGTTTCGCCCGGTCCACGAAGCGCTTACGGAGTTCCTCCTCATCGTCTACGGGGTCTGTGACTATTGGCGGTGGAGCAAACACGGAGGCTCCCTCCACAGCGACGCCATCCTTGTTATGCAGGTAGTGACCCAGTCCATAACCTCGAAAGTAAAAACCACGGCTGTCCCTAATCAGTTCCTCTTCCTTTGGAGACGAGAAGAGAAAAAAAAAACAGTCAGTACTGTAGCAAAGTGTCATTCAGGTGTGTCAAACATATGGCCCTGGGGGCCAAAACCAGCCCACTAGGCAGTTCAATCTTGCCCACTTGACAAATTAAAAAAAAAAAAAAAAAAAAATACAGCGGAACTTTGAGATATGAGCGTCTCGACATACGAGTATTCCGAGATACGAGCCAGCCTTCAAGCAAATTTTTGCTTTGAGATATGAGTAAAGACTTGAGATACTGTACGAACACCTCGTGTTACAAGCTCAGTCCTGGAACGGATTACGATCGTATCTCGAGGTATTACTGTATCTGTAGTAGAAGTGGACACAGGTAAATCAGGTGTGTCAAACATACGGCCCTGGGGGCCAAAACCAGCCCACTAGGCGGTTCAATCTGGCCCGCTTGATGAATTTTGAAAATAAAAAAA